TTTCTTTTTTTTTTTTATTCTGGGCAAGCTTTAGCTTTGAGGCTTGGCTCCAGCTCTTAGACCTCCGCTGCTGAAAGTAGGTTTCTGGCCTTTGCTTACAATGTTGCGATCCTGCTGGTTGAAGCCAGGCGCAGACTAAAGCAGGTTTCTGGGGTTGTTTTAGCTTCTATATTTGTAACTATGTTTCAAACTGCAGCTCAGAGGCCTGCAGCGGCAGGCAGGAAACGTTGGAGTCCTCCGTCACTGAAGCAAGCAAGCCTCATGTTAGTTTCAAGCTGCCTGGCTGCCGGCCACCATCTTGGCTGGCAGTTAATTTGCATATCTCGCTGATTAGCCAATGGGAAGGGTAGCGGTTGTATGCCAATTACCATGTTTCTCTTTTATTGGATAGTATTATCATATTGTTTTCAGTATGAACAACTGTAAACCTATTTCACTCCACTCTGTATACACACACATGCTTTCATTACAAGGGAAAGATCAATGAGACACCCTTAGCAGTGGGTGTCTTTGGGAAGTGTAGTGGCTGCAACAAGAAAGGAGGTAAAGGACTGCTACTACTAGGTTTCTATCCTTCAGCACTCACTGAAGTGTTTTGCTGTGTCCAAGGACCTCATTCACATCTTTTCCCGGTGTAGCCTTAAAGGAGCATCATCGCTAATCATGTAAAACTTTGAAACCCGTGGACCAAATCATTGTGGGGATTTTCTGAAGAGAGCCATTGGGTGATTTTCACTTGTGTGTATCTCCTAATATGCAAACCAAAGAGCTCCTGCAGCCCTCGGGGAGTGGGGACAGTGAGGGCGATTCTGTCTCATTTCTGTGGCTCTCCAGTATCTGATTCCTTCAGCACTAGCAGCACATGTGCAGCTATGTTCACTCCCCTGGGAAGCCGTGCTGCCCCTCACACCACGTGGGTTTCTAAGGAATTCTGCTCTATTGATCAGAGTCATCCAGCTTGTTTGGAAAGCACACCCTATGCTATAGGAATGTGGGACATCCACCACCGTAATCTAATTCTCACTCAACAGGGAAATAGAGATGATAAGGAGCCATCCAGATATTCGATGACCTAAAAGAAAAAAATATTTCTGGAAACTTAATTATTTTTGAGCAGTCGGACTGGCTCATGCCCACTCTTTTAAAAGAAACACACAGTCCATTTTCTGTTTAGAAATAAATAATACTGATTAGTGAATGTCAAATAGCCACTGGGCTGGATGTTTCTGGTGTAGGGGGCAGTGATGAAACAGTATTTTTGCCAAATGGTCTATTTTAGCCAGCCAATTTAACTTTTATATGTATTTAATGGGGACAGAATATAAAATTTTCTAGAG